TAAAATAAAATAAAAAATACTTTGCAAGTTTATAAAAAATTTATATGTTGTATTCCATATTTCCTTTGACATTGAGCCACTGTGCAACGCCGAGTCGTTGGAGTTTGACACCGATTGAATGACAACAGCAACAACAACAACAACAGCAACTATGTGCGGTACTTGCAGATGCATCTACAGCCGCGAGTATCTGTGTGAATACATGTTTGTGTGCTGGTAACTGTATGAGTGTATGTGTAGTCTTTTGTGCTACGGGCTGCCTTGTCGCAGATCTTTAATTGCAGAATTGTGTTTCGCTGCCAGCGCCTCAGCCGCACATAGATGAGGATGGATGCGCATTGTGGCAGCGCGACGCGCTGGTATTACCCATCTCCGGGCCGATCTTGGTGATTAATTGACGTTGGTGTCGCGTGAGCTGCGCGGGTTTATTAAAAGGATTACAAGATGTGAATGTGCGACGGCGACGGCGACGGCGACGGACTCCACTCGAGTCGCAATTCCATAAATGCCAGCATAGACCGATGCAGCCAGTCGTAATAAGATTAATTACGAACGCCGCAGCAAAGAGTCGCAACGCAAACACAAGCACACACACTCACACACACTTATAATAAGGCACAATATTTTGACATGACAATTAGAAACTTGAAGTCTTCCATTGTCATTTCAAGTGTCTGCATTAATTTGAAAGCTCTAAGTTCTTTAATAATATTCATAAGGCACAAATACTTTTTGGACAATGCCCCCTGAGACCGTTTAGCTGTAATCCTGGCCAGACCTGGCCATTTGCATATATTTAGCCTTTGTATCCCTTTGACACGCGAGGCTCTGCAGGATAAGTGTCATCAGGGGCGCAAATAATTGACTTTTAATAGAGGGTCGGGCCCGAGCAGCGTTACGCCAATTAGTGGAGAGTGTCATTAAGGGTCGCTTAAACATATTTTCGGTGGAAATATGAGGGATATACTCCCAGCTGGATATAACTGTTATATATGAGATATATATATACGCCTAAACGATTCATTTGCTTCAGTGGCAAAAAGTGAAATTCGCAAATGTTTCGTTAAAACATGCAATTTTTTTTCTGGCTTTAATGAACTTTACTTCAGTTTTGTTTGCCAATGCCAATGACGATGATGATGATGATGATGTCATCGCCCAAGACAACCGTACGAAAGCGCAAAGCATCCAATAAATCACAACCCGATCGCACAGTTTATGCTCATGCTCATGCCCCACTCGTGACAGCTGGATACCCAACTATGGCGGAGGCTGTGGATGTGGATGTGGCTGCTGCTGCTGCTGCGGCTGCGGCTGCGGCTGCACGCCAAACACCCGAGACAACGAAGTGGAGCAGCTGCCAGAGATTAGTCAGTTTCAGTGACTGGCAGCACTGGCGGGACTCTTGGCGCACTTCAACTCTCTCGGGAGCCCGCGCAAGCTGCTCAACTGGTTTGCGCGACTGCACCAAGAGAATAAAGGGGGGAGAGACGTGCACGGAGATCAAGGTGAAACACTCGAAACACTCGGCTCAGAATTCATTATGTTAGCCAACTAATTGCTTAGAGCTTATATATATGTATACATATATATAGAACTGACTGCGGCGCATATCGATTTCAAATGCAAATCACAAATGATCATTAAATCTCAATAGTTATTTAGCTAAGCTTTAGTTATTAGACTAACGAGACAAAAGCTTTACCCACTGACTAATGCCTGCCAAAGTGATGTTCATTTAATATAGGCAAGGATTGGTATATGTATAAAGCTATACTCCCCATACTAAACTCACTAACCAATATGCCAGATTCGTTTCATTGAATGTCTACAAAAATATATATTGATTGATTAACTGTGCTAGTGATCGACACACATACAATAAAAAGTCTCACACATACATACATATATACCTCATATACCTAAAGCTTAGCCGAGTGAGAGCCGACAATGCTAAAAAAAAAAAAAAAAAAAA